AACCTTTAAAAAAGCAAATTAGTTTCGGGTCCTCCACAAAATGTCGGGCGCAACTTCTCTATGGTTTTTTCGGGAAGAGTAGGTCGATTTCACTGTTCCGGGTCCCGTCTGTGCGCTTGCGCTTACATCCGGTCCCTCACTTGTCTTCCTCCGACTTTTTCCGGTTGTTCCAATCCTCTCTAGGAGTGATATTCACTGGTTGTCTGCCATCGGAAGAAATTTATTGGTACACCGTCCCTTTTCTTCCCGCGATACTTCTCGTCAGTTTCGTTTTTCAGCTGCGCGCTTATCTCTAGCTAGCCGCAAGAATGTTCAACAATAGCGCTTTTTCCGTTTTTAAAGCCTTAAATCAAATCGTTTTTTTTCCGGAATTAGTCTCTGGGTTCGTCTACTCATTATCCGCTCAACCGCTCAACCGTTCAAATCGTGTTAGAGTCAAAATCAGGTAAGCGGGGCGTTTAATTGTTATCTCGCGCGTCTATACTGGGATTGCATTGCTTCTTTTAGTTCACTCACTTTTCCCCTTGCTGAAGAAATTGGCTGATGACGGATTTATGTTGGTAAACCAACTCGGAATGGCTCCTTTAGTGATGCTCGGCATTCACCCTCTTCGTGGGAGGAGATCAAAGCCTAAACAAGCTTCTTCAGAAACTTGATCAGGCCGATCTCTTACTCCCGCTTGGGCACAGCTGCCTGCTGGACACCCCCCCTCTCTGGGGAGCGTTGCTTTGGGCTATAAACTGCCCAAACTGTCTAAAGAGCCGCCGACCACCCCCGGAGAATCGAGGGAGTGCTCTAATTCGCCATCTTGGCACGACCGGAAGCCAAGCCTCCTGCTTCCTGACCCACCCCCCCTCCAGGTGGTCTGGTGGAGCCCAACTGGTCAAAAATCCCGGGGAGCTCCAAAAGAAACGAAAAAGGAACAGGGTGATTCAGGAGCATCCTGAAAACCGCCTTGTCGCCACGCCACACCGCTCGCTACAAACACATCTTTGAAGCCCAGAGCTTGTTTATTCCATACTGACTGGAACAGAAGGAATGTGATGTGTTCTCCTAAGGTCCAAACCAGACAAGATGGTGTTCCTCATGCCTGACAGGCCACTGTCATTTTAAATCCTAAAATGGGCAACTAAAAAATGTCACAAGGGCTTGCAATACACTCTCGCACCCCACACCCTGAAAAGGCTGCAAGGGGGCATAGCTGTTTTGGCATTTGAAAAGGGGTTGAAAGGGAACAAGAGTACCTTGTACTGCCATGCTGTGGTCCCTATCAGGATCAGGCCCTTTCAATATTTTTAAATCACCCATTTTAGAGTTTAAAATGGTGACGGCACCCCCATATCAAACACAAAGATGCCATCATGTCTAGTTGCCCCTAAGATAATGGTATACAATTCTTCAGTCTTGTCTTTGTCTATCAACACACTGAGGTCAAGGAAGCTGAAACACTGAGGCCACATATGTAAAGGGTTTGGGGGTTATATGTAGCCGTATAGATGAATAGGCATAGAAAGGCAGGAAAGCCTGAAAAATTGAGGAAGATATTGCACTCTCTTGTCCTAACAAGCCAAGTAGGACATCTGCTGAATGTTTTAGCTCTAAAGCTACTGTGGGTAATATTTGCTGTTTTATTTGAATACCTCATTTGCAACTGAAATATGTTTAAGAATATACTTAAAAATAAAATCAGAGTAAGTTAGCCCTCATGGAGTAAAAGACGACGTGAGACCTCAAAAGGCCATTTTTTTAAAAGGTAGCTATTTTCTCTCCAAGTAGATTGGTAGCCTATTTTTTCCCCTCCAAAACAAAAGGGAAACTTTATCTTCAGCAATAAAAGAATTAAATCATGCCTGCAGTCATTTTTGTTATGGGAGGGGGAAGGAGAGGGGAGGGGGAGAGACTTCTGGTGACTGACAATTTTAAGCCCTTGTAATGACACAACCGAGCAGACGTCTACGTTTTAAATTGCCATCTCTAATTATACCATCCAGAAGCAGCAATTTTCCTTAATTTGAAACCCACTTTAGAGATAATGCTACTGGATGTTTGCATGAACAAGGACAAATGATTGGAGGTTGCCTTTAACAAGGAAAGGGCCACCAATATGAATCACAGAGCCTCAAAAGCTTTAACATGAATGTTGCTTTGTTGTAATTTTTGAAGAAGGAGAAGAGTCCCCAGCATGTCTTTGACTTTCTTTGTACAACTAGGACAGGCAGGAGAAAAAGTTAACGTGTCCCCCCCCCCCAATCAAAGCCTAGAGAAGCCTCAAACCTAGAATGGATAACTGGGGGGAAAGCCTTCACAAATTAAAAAGCATTTAGCTGACTGTATTGTAAATATAATATAGAATTTCAACATTGAAGACAATTTACAGATATCTCTTACACAGTGCATTTTCTAAACAAGGAGCAACAATGTGCCAATAATGCCATTAGCAGGCTGGAGGTAAGGAAAAGTGGAACTTGGATGTTTAAGAAGGGAACTTCCATTTCCAGCACTTAGCTGTTACAACATACAGGCCTGTAATTAAAGAAGGCGGACACAGCAGAGTTTTCCCCCGTTACCTATCCAGCTCATACATATGACCCCAAAATAACCGCTTTATTGAAGAGGTGGGAACACAATGTTCAAGTGAAGCAGAAGTTTTTAAAGTGCACTGGATGAGAAAGCTGGTGTTTTTTTTAAGGATCTGTTTACTTCTGTATTTTTTAAAATAGGTTGCAAGCCAGGTATTTCACTTTCATAATCAGAAACTCAGTGGTAGTAGAGTAAATTTACTGTATATGGCCATAGGCCTTTACAATCCATTTGCAATAAAATCAGAAATGTACAAATACAACGTAAAACGTACAGATTTAAAATGTATACATCTCTGAAATCCAAGAGCTTCAATTGGTCAGTTATTTCTGTGTTTCCTTACCAGATTTGTTCTGATCTGCTTTGCTGCCAGAGCAAAAAGTGCCATCTTATTAGATATAAAAGGGTCAGTGTCTGATAGCATATAAGCTAATTTATCAGAGTCAGATAAGGAATAAAAGCTAGATAAAATGTTGGCAAGAAAGTTTTCCCTAGGCTTCAGGTGTAAGAAACTCAGTGTAGGAAAGGTTCTGAATACTGCAAACTGATGCATTTTGTAGTGCAGAGGGGTGGTAGCCCAGACTTACCCAGCCCATATCCATCATACAGCAGTCTTTCACGTTCCATAGTCTGGTTGATGACAGTTTCTCGGGAACTGTGCTGCCTTGCCTGTCTGCCTTTAATACTGTTATGCAGATCGATCTGCTCCAACTCATCACTGAATCGATGCAAATACCTAAATACATAGCAAAATGCCATTATCAGGTTTACTGCTTTACATTTGCTTTACAACCCCATCACAATTTTAGAGAAGTCTCAATGACACCTTGTGACAACTTTGGAAGAAGGAAAAAAACCCTCCAGGGTTGAAATTGCATTTAGCTAATTTGGCTATAGTACCGCAGCTATGTTAAAATGCCTGTCTGTACACCATGTACGGTAACAAACTCATAAATTCCTCCTGACAGAATGTGAGAAAGGTGCGAAGGAAATAAAAAGAAGTCAAGAACATCTCACCTGCCAGACTAATTAAAAGATTAATGCATTTTAAAAAATTAAATTGCTTAGGTTGTTTCTACTCATCCCTTGCATGGACCATGTTAAATATTTTTAAAGCAAACGAAGTTTACATATATTTGCAAAAAATCAACAGGGACAATTAGGAAATAAAGTATTTCGGTAAAGTCTTACAAAACGCTATACAAGAGGCACTAGTACATTCATTTAGGATTACTGGTCATAATTACATAAAACTTTATGATTTCTAATATATTATTTACAGTGCAACCCTAAGTATGCTTTTCTGGGGGTAAGCCCCATTGAATAGATCTCAGTAGGATTCTGAGTAGACTTGCTTAGGATTGCTCAATCAGTTAGCAAAGTTATATCCCACTTTTCTGCCCAATGAAGGCCCATAGTGCCTTACAACATTCTCCCCTCCTCCATTTTATCCTCACAACCCTGTGAGGTAGGTTAGGCTGTGTGTGACTGGCCCAAGGCCATCCAGCATGTTGTCACAGCACAGTGGGAATTTGAACCTGAGTCCCCTAGATCCGAGTCCAACATTCGAACCACACAACTAACTTACTAAATCCAATCCAGCAACATAAAGGATGGAACATACACACTCTGCCCTAGTGCACACAACAGAATGTTAGTAGTGTTAGAACACTGCATAACATCTCAAGGGCACTCAGTACATCTATCTCGTCACTCTTCATTCCCAAGACATTAAGTCTCTCATCTGCCACAAACTTACTTTTCTGCTAATTCACAGGCTTCTTTTTTTGTGTATTCCAGTTTGTTGGGATCCAGGTGACTCTGAAACCAAAGGAGTTTTTCACCTACAAAAACATAAAAACAAATTCAGGGACTTCTTTACCATAACTGCTTGACACATGAAGCTGCCTTATATTGAATCATCAGACTACTGGTCCATCAAGATCAGTATTGTCTACTCTGGCAGCAGCTCTCCATGGCCCAGGCCTTTTTGCATCACCTGCTACCTGATCTTTGAAACTGGAGATTCAACCTAGGAAAGCTGACATGCAAAGCAGATTCTCTACCAATGGGCTGTAATGGTTCCCAAGGTCACAGGGGAGTTAAAAGTCTACCAGCTGCCCTGAAACAAATCAAACATGAAGCACTGAACAGTTACCTAATCCACAAAAACAACTCTGTAGGAGAGCTGAGAACAGCAGGTCAGATCCAGAGAACTGTGAATATAGTTCTGTTTTAGGAATGGCTCCTATTTCCCCCTTCTTGCTGAAGCAGGGTCCTAAAGGTCAGAGAACACTTAGGAACGATGTTCAATGGAGTGTGGAGGGGCTGCAGCTGAAGTGGGAATCCACAGGAATAATAGATTTTCCATCCCGTTGAACAAGCAGTGTTTCTGCTCATGAAAGGAGGGAGCACTTGGCTCCAACTAAAAGTCTGGGGTCCTAGGTCACAATTCAACTGTCATTCCCCAAAGTGAGCAGCTGGCTACAGCCATCACTCCCCCTAATAATCTCCAGGACTGATATCTACAGGATAATTGGTAACTTTCCAGAAAGTCAGATTTGGTTCAGGGTATAAAACTATTTCTAATCTAAGGAGCTCAACATAGCTTTAGCCGCTGAAAAACTAATATGATTTATGTCACCAACTTCATTCAATTGCAATTTGGACCTTAAGTAAAAATGTTCCATGTTCCAGCTGTTTTGTTGAAAATAATCTGTTTCCTTCTTTCTTTAGTACACAACTAATATTAGAATGGGTTTTTCAAGAACTTTAAATTATACACATAATACTAAGTAAGATCTTGAAACACATAATGCACCCACAGTATACTATGCAAGGACTAAGTATGCTTAGCTGAGTAATTAATTTTCACAACATAGAATTCAACATTTTATTATGTCGCTACAGCAGATGTCTCCAACAGGTAGCTCAATAGCTACTGGTGGTGTTTCAGCTACTGTAGAGTAACTCGTGAATCCTCCAGAATTCCAGGAAAAGATTGCAAAAAAAGAGCTGCTCTAGGCTTTTTAAAAAATTATATCACAGGATTTTTCTCTGTGCTGCTTAACTGACAGATTTATTTCTAGTGGACTTCCTAGTCCATGTTCTGTTTCTACAACATAACAGTAGTTGGTAGTATGGTCGGGGGGGGGGATCGTTTGGGGTATTTTTCATGTCAGAAGTAGCTTTCATTCAAGAAACGGTTGTTACAGTATTCAAATATCACATTGCTCAATCACAAGTCCCTCACATACATAAACTTATGATATGGAATAAGATTTTAGCTGTGTTTCCAATAGAAGTATAAGAATTACTTATTTACTTTATAGTCTGCTTTTCTCACCAAGACGCAAAGAGGATTACAAAATGTATGCCATTGAATAGGAACTACATAAGAAATATAATGAACATAGTAATAAAATTACACTACAAGTTAGAAAGCAATGCAATAGAAACAGTGTAAGATATGATACGAAATCTGCAAAAACTGATTTAGAAAAATTAGAAAATGATGCAGTAAAAACAAGAAATGCCAACAGTGTCATAAACTACAGTCCCTATTCCCTTATTAAAACATCCTCCTGAACAACAAACTTTTCATGTTGAAAAGTGTACCACTGCATATTTGACAGCTAAACTTTACCTATAGCAAAAGAAGTAATAAGCAAAAGCAATAAAACTCCCAGTGGCAAGTCAGAAGAAAGCAAACCCAAAACTGGAGGATGAAGGAGAAGAAGTCTCAAGTAAGCTATGCAAGGCAAATCCAGAAGTTCAGGAGACCTCCTGAGAATGTCTTGTAGGGGCATCAAGTGGCCCAAGAGCAAGACTTCAGATGCAAGAATTCTTTAGGGGACCACTACTGCACTGTCTGTTCAAGTCACAGTCAACTTATCACAACCCCACAGTATTTTCAAGGAAAGTAAGAAGCAGAGGTAGTTTGCTATTGCCTTCCTCTGTAAAGTCTTCCTTGGTGGCCTCCCATCCACATACTGACCCTGCTTAGCTTCCAAGATCTGATGAAATTGGGCTATACTATATCACTCCATCCAATGGCATCTTAAACAAGATTTATTCCAGCATGCATTTTTGAGAGTCAGAGCTCACTTCCGACGCATTGGAGAGTATGCAATACATGTCATGATGTGAGCTCTGACTCAAGAAAGTTTATGCTGGAATAAATGATTTCAGTCTTCAAGGTACCCCCAGACTCCTGTTTCACTTTGCCACTACAGGCTAACATGGCTACCCATTTGGCATTACCACATATGCAACAATCTTTTTGTTTAAGAAATATCAGCAAATATCCACTGGCAACTAAATGCCATGTCCAGATTATTTTAAAAGATGCCAACAAATTCATGAGTCCATAATACAGCAGCTGGTCAAGATAGGTGAGGTACTTAATTACATTTTCCTAGTGCCTTTGCTTGGAAGGGGGAAAGATGTAGAGACACTGAAATCACCCTACCCATGCGAAGAGCCTGTCACACAGAGCAGAGCCTTATGAACTGGGCCTGATTTGATCAACCCCCCCCCCCTACATTACAAAGGCAAGTGAAAAAAATACCAGCAGAAAAACAAAACAGCGGGAAGGCAAGGAAGAATAAGAATGGTAACGATTTCTTTTCCTACTTGAAGCCTTCTTTGACAGTTTCACAATTTGGAGATGCCAGCTGTCTAGCAAGTCAAGCTGTTACCACTGCTCAGAACTGTCATTTTGCCGCAAGACTTTAGGTAAAAATTTGTCCCTCCTCCCTGACTTATGCCTGCAGCAAAATCAGCAGTATCTGCAAAATGCCTTGCAAAATGAATTGGCTACCTTGTAGCTGTACTTCAGAATAGGCACAGAAGAAAGGAGAAAAATAATGGTGAGAAGAGAGGAGGAATGATAATGGAAGGAAGCTGAAAAAAGTCAAAGAGAAGAAATGGTGGGGAGGCAGAAGAGAAAATGCATGTCGTTTCTCTTCTTAAATGATCTCCTTAAACTACTGAAAAGTAGCTTTCCTTTTGTCAAAATTTAATTTAAAGGTGAGCATGACTATTGAGATGCAGACTGCTGTTATATAAAGACAACAATAATTACCAAACTACTTTTAGCAATAAAGAATAGAGTTTCCTCGACATCTTAGAGGGTTTCCATATTGAAAAGGCAAACAGGACGACTAACTTTTTTCTGAACTGTTTCATCCTCTGCCAAGAACAGCATTTAACCAAGGACAAGGTATCTTGCATAAAACCTCTAAGGTGAATGAACCCTGTGTGTTATTGGAAAAGACAAACCTGTGTTTCACTTTATACTTGAACACACTTCAATCCTGCTAGCCCCTTTTCTCCATGTATCTATCCCATATATTCCTGGATAAGCCAGCTGCATGGTTATACAACATGATGCAGCAGAATATGGATCCATCTGTGACAGACTGTCAAGGGTTAATGCCTAACAGAGTCTGAGAACCTTTGAGTGACAGGTTGTTCTAAGGGAATACTGTTGAGAGAGTCAGTTAAGGAATGACAGTTGAGAACTGACAGTTAAAGAAGAGACAGCTAAGCACTGACTGTGGACTGGGAAGGAGGCTGTAACTCAAGAAACCTATGCTTGAGTGCTTAAGCAAAAACTGAAAAGAAAGCTTCTCTCCTCAAAGTTTTAAGGACCTTGTTGAATAGCAGAAACACTTACTTGTTGACAACAAATTATCTGGTCTTTGTGTGGATACAAAGTTAACTCAGTTTTATCATCTGTTCACCTCATACATCCTACACCTGATTCCACCTGACCTTTTTTCCTCCAAGTTAAATAAAACTTTTCATTTATTTTGAACTTTCAAAAGCCACTTCTGTGTCATTTCAAAAACAGAATATAAGAAGGTGATTTTGTCTCTTCCCTCAGTTCCCTTGGCTGGGCCAGTCATAGACAAACAATTAAGAAAATAGATAAAAGGGCTGCTCAGCAAGAAAGGCAGCAGGGCAAATCCTATTTGTGAGGGAGGGAAGAGGACAAGATCATCATAACACCCCAAACAGATTTCTAAAATAGCTGCAATCGTGGTAATCACTTTCTGACTGAGGCATGGTTCAAACAGGGAGTCAAACTATGGTCTGGCATTACAACTAAACCAAGATTGCTGAATGCCTGACAAACCATAATCTGACAATGCTACACTTTTGGAGACTGCATGACCACAGAGCAGGTAAGCAGCTTTCCAGCAATTCTCACTGGCAGTAGGAGGAATAAGTATGCCCCTTCTGTCAAGTCAAAGATTTGATGAGTGCTCCCCCCCCTCCACCGTCCCACCTCCCAGAGGGCCCTGCTCGAAGGGGAGGGCAAGAGCGCGGCGGCTGGCAGCCCCCCTGGGGGTGTGGCGGCCACGTGTCGGCTTTCCCCGAAGGGTGTAGCGCATGGCCGGGGGTTGGGGGATGGGAAAATGGGGTCCCTGGGTGTTTTGAATCCTTTTTTTGTGTAAAGCGGGCTTTTGTGATTGTGTTTGTGACTGGGGAATGCTTTGAACCGGCGGGCTTTTTGCTGTGAATGTGTGAAAACTGTACAATGCTTGTGCTAACATTGTATGAAGCCATTGTCTTAGATTTGTGTCCCTGCTTAGTGCAGACTGCCCCTCCGGGGGGTCTTTTAGCCGGCTCCAGGGAGCCCCCACCCCCTGCATGCCCCCCACCTTCCTCTGTAAGCTCCAGGCAGATCCAGGAGCCCCCCCCCTTGCAAGCCTCACAGAGCGCCAAAAGGAAAAAAGTTCTACACTTTACAGACATGCCCAGCCTCCCCTCTTTAAGCCCCAAAGCCAAACATTAGTGCAGTTTTAGTGCAGACTGGCTTACAGAGGAAGGTGGGGGGGGGAGCACTCATCAAATCTTTGACTTGACAGAAGGGGCATACTTATTCCTCCTGGCATTCACCAAAGTACAACGTTCATCCACCTTAATTCCAGCTACTGCCTCGTCCCTACCCACACCCTATTTTTCAGTTAAACAAACTCACTTTCTGGAGATTCAGTCTGTGATCCACTACAGTACATACATTTCAATGGTCTTTTTAAAATAACTCTAAAAGCATTTGTAAAAGGACAGGGTTCTATGTGTGGAAGAGGAAGGGAAATGTTGCAAAATAAATTCAACCAAAGCTGCAGTATGTCAGATTCTACTGAGAGCAGCCCAAAGATCTTGGAAGGAGCTGTGTCCTCTTTGGCTTCTGCCTAGTGTTGCATCCAACCAGCAGCAATGATCTAGCCCATGACAGCAGTCAGGCAAAGCCAAACAGTTACTACATCCAGGAAATGTAGTGGAAGGTGGTTGAGCAAGTAAGTAATACAGATCATGGCTGGCTACTTATCAAGCCACGGTTAATGCAAATCATTGCTTGACACTACATTTGCACCAAGCTTGTATCCATTGTCTGCACTGTCAAAAGTTACTGTGCTTGATCAGTTGCATGAAGAATGTTACAAGCCATAACCTAGGAAAAGTGGCTGGCAGGCTGCCTGTGCTAACAAGACCTAGCTTGCCTCTCTACCAGAATAAAGTATAAACCAAACAATTCATTTGTTCAGAGTTTAAAGACCTGGCTCTCCAATGCCAATACATGTGCTAGCATTCAGACAATGAGTAGTCCCACAATACAATGAGATGCTTAGGAATGGACGGCATAAGTATGCTTGCCCCACAAACCAGGAGTGCAAACCAGAAAAAAAATCGTGATGTGCAAGCCTGGCTAGCAAGGAAACTGCAAAGTACAGTTTGCCAGTTCAGATGTAACAGCAAACAATATCTTGTCAAAAACCACAAAGTAACTAATTTTCTGTGGTACATGAGAAAAGTAACAAAGGTCCTGTCCATACGAGGCCTTTTGGGCCGGGAGCAGGATGGAACGGGGGCGGAGCAAACGGGCGCGATCCCACCGCAACATCTGGGAAGCATACCGTCTCCGTCCCTAATCCGGCCCTTCCAGCACTGCTCCGCACCAAAAAAGAACCACCTACCGAGGTGGTTCTTTTCGAAGGGCCGCAGCAACGCTGACCGTGGGGTCGCCGGCGCATCCTTGCGCCGGCGCATCCTCGGCTCCTGGCCGAACTGCGCATGTGTGAGCATGCGCAGTTCGCCAGGCTCCCCTCCCCACCGTCGCTTTCTCCCCGGCATCTGATCGTGCCGGGGAGCGACGGCACCGCGGCTCGGGGGATCCGTGAGATCCCACCGCGCCGTCTCAACTTTGCTGCGGCTCACATTAGCCGCAGTTCGAGCGTCCTTTTCCCTGCCGTGTGGCAGGGACCAAAGAAGATTGTACAAGCGACCCTGAGGTTTCTCTCTATGTCACACCAAGACAAGCTTGGTATTATGTCCCTCCTGTACACATCCATAAATTCCTTCCAATGCACAGTGCTTTAAAAGCTTAAAAGATAATACTATTAGCTATCTGCGTGCAACCAAATTTCCTCTGTAAGCGCAACTTTAAAAGAATGTTAAAATGTATTTTCCCTAAAGGAAGCACGAATACAGAAATCTGTGAGCATTTCAAAAAAGAGAGACATCAAAGTGACACCATTAGCACTGAATTCATTGGTTGAGAATATTGTTAAAATGTTATAAAGCCTGTTGCATTAGAAAGGCAGTCTGTTTCCTTAGTAGCTTAAGATAATGCAATGAAATTTACTTCAGCAGAACTTGGGATGTTTAAAGATTTATGTTTACACTTACCTACAACACTGAGACGGAAGGCCTTTTCATTTTTCAGCCTGTAAAAAGATAACTGCAGTTTAAGTATTCTTGAAATATTTTTTTTAACCAACAGAACGGGGGGGAAATATATAAGGAGCAAACTGATAGCAATGAAGAATTTCCCACTTCATTGTTCATCTAAAGACTTCATCTACTTTGGCAATTTCCAAAATCAAACCAAGTTGTTGTTGCAGATTTCATCTATAGAAAGAGGCACTTCAGAAATTGGCATTTCATTACAACAGGTTATCACTGTCAACCAATAAGTAGTTATTTTAGATTTACTTCAGAATCAGCAGAATTTAGACCTCAGCATTAAGCACATGATACAGAATTAAAATAAACAAAAATCAGTAGGAAGCGCTTCAAACGGTGGATATAAGCCACTGTATCAGGGTTGCTCACATAACTGCCACCACCAACAGAAGCAAATTGAAGTTTATTCAAGGTATGAGCTTTCATGTGCAAGGCACACGTTTTCAAATACACTGGAATGGTAGGTAAGGTTCAAACTTATAGACAAGGACTTAACAGCAAATTAACATGTAACATGATGATGTTTAAGATATGCAAAGTGAGAGCTAGATAACAAGCTAAGGTTATAAGGTCAATAGTTGTAAAGCAATAAACATGTCAGAATAGCAGATAAGTGTCTAAAGGTGTCTTTTCTAATTGTGGGAAGCACAATTCGTGTGGAAAGCTCATACCTTGATTAAACCTTTGTTGGTCTTAAAAGTGCCCCTGGACTCTGAATTTGTTCTACTGATTCAGACCAACCCGGCTGACCCCCTGGATCTTGAAGCAAACTGAGAGACAACTCCTCAAAAGTCAAAGACACATTCAGAGGACATTTTGTTGTAGAGATCTCATAAATTAAGACACGTTAAATGTTCCTTATTTGAAAAGGTAAACATGTACATTGGATCAGGTGAAATCAATCATGCAAGTAAACCTCAGAATCCAGCAGCCTTAGATGTTGTCAGCAAGACAATGGGTGCGTTCAGATGGGGCATTTACAACGGTATAGGTGCCGGTTGGAATCGGTGTACTTACCGGCGTTCACACGTAGAACATCTGCCTTCCATCCCTAACCGTTGTAAAGAGCTTTAAACCGGTGTATTCTGCTACTAGGTCCCCAAGTGGTGGTATCCTGAGTGTACCGGTTGTATTTATTTATTTATTTATTTGGATTTCTATCCCACCCTCCCCGCAGGCTCAGGGTGGCTAACAGGGGCATAACGCCAATAATAACAATAAAACAGTAAAATTCTGACTAAAATTACAAAATAAGCAATTAAATAATTAACAAAAGTTCTTAAAACACTTAAAACACCATATCCAAATTCTTACAATCAAGATGGTGTTCTCCATGATATGGTTGCCTAACCATACCCCCCCCCCTGTTGTCCCTAGGCATGTCCCCCTCCCTCCGATGGAGCCCGCACCAGTGATGACAGTGTTGGGGCATTTACAACAGTATAGGTGCCGGTTGGAATTGGTGTACTTACCGGCGTTCACATGTAGAACATCTGCCTTCCGTCCTAACCGTTGCAAAGAGCTTTAAACCGTTGTATTCTGCCACTAGGTCCCCAAGTAGTGGTATCCTGAGTGCAATGGTTGTAACTGCTTTACCCCCCGTCTGATCGCTCTCCACCATTGTAGAGCCACTTCCATTCGGAAGCTCGAGGCTTCCGCTTTTCACCCACCATTTTTTTTGTTAGGTCGGCCATATGCGCTTGGGCAAAACTTCGCCCTGGCGTTTGTTTAAAAAAAAAAAGGAAAAGGTCCTTAGTTTAAGGTTTTAGAGGAGTCCGGGATCGCAGGGAGGCCAGTTGGGTCTTTAAACTTTAAAGGTAAGTCCTCTCTTCAGGGCATGCTTTTTGGGACGGGGTGTTTTGCGCATGCGTGAAGATCACCATTCTGTGGATGGCTGCCTATGCACATGCGCAAACTGAGTTTTTAAAAAAAAGCACCGACACCCGCTGTGTGTGAACGGGCATACAGCGATGGGCTCTGCAGACAGGAGGTAAGTGTCATCGCGTTTCAGCCGGCATAAACTGCACCGGTTGGAACTGGTGCAGTTTATGCCGGCTGAAATGCCCCGTCTGAACACACCCAATGAAAAAAACAAACTACATGAACACAAAATGTTTTACATTTTTAACTGAATTCTAAAGATCATCTCATCCTGTGAACTAGTCCTTCCCAGTCTGCAAGGCTGGGTCATTGCACTGAATTTCTTCTTCACAGAACTCTTCTTCACAAACTTCTTTCTAGGAACTGGTTACGCTACAGCAAACTGGAACCCAAAAGGTGTGGCTGCATGTCAACCTTGGGCCAGGAAATGTCAGAAAGAGAGACAACACTGGGAACAGACAACACTAGAAAATATAATCCGTTTTGGAAGTGTGACACACTTCAAACATTTACAGTTTTACCTTCAAAATGAAATAATTATTTTAAATACTTATTGTGTGGGAAGCAAATTGTTTCCATTCATTCATCCTCTGCTAAAAGTTGCTATTATTCACCTTGAATGTTTATGACAGCACAGACAAAGCACAGTATAGCTGCAAAGTACTGCTGTGGAGAGCACTAAAATGTTACATTAAATGCAGCCTCAATAAGATTGCAGTTCTCAGATTCTCCTCACCTTTCATACCAGCTTAACCTGTACTATACTTGCATTCAAAAATGGTTCTAAGAATTGAACTTGAGTAAAATTCAGACTGAGTGCTTATTTTGAACAAACTGAGGGCAGGGGATTTTTCTGAATGCACAAATCCAGTTAACACAGTTTTTAAATACTTCTTAAAATAAATATCAAAATCTGAAGACGGCTGGAAGAGCAGAGCAAATCCAAAATGGCAAAAAGAACTGTCAGCCAGTCTTTTACTCAATCAATGATATCACTGGATCGACAGATGGCCTAGAAATATTGGTTCGGAACCAGGCTAATTCTAGAAGTGAGCAAATAATCTCAGGAAATTAAAAACTCAGTTCCTATTAGCAAAGGATTATAGAAGATAAAGTGAGAAAAATGGTTACTAATACACAAGTTCAATATAAGGTATATTTCAAAGGCACAAGACTTTAAGTCCCACTAGTACCATGCACTTTACCCCCCCGTAAACCTGAATATATGACAGCTAAAATTTTGTTATGTATAAAAGCACTTGTTTCTTAATACATGGGAAGTACTCCAATACAATACTCCAATAATACATGGAAAGTACTCCAAGATTAAAGGTGCCTTGAAAACATGAAATGAACACCTAAAGCCAAATAGTTATTCCATGGTTTATCAAGATGCATATGTTCTAACATTCAACCAGAAAAATCCTGCTTTGAGTGAGGAAGTAGCCTCTCTGACCAATTAGAAAAAATAATGACAAGGTGTAAGAGGATTTTTTTTAATTAATCAGTTCCCAAAATGCAATTATTTGCTGATTGATTTATTAAATTAAATTTCTAGGCCACTATCCTCTGTGAGCAGGGTTCAGGGCGGTTTACAACAGAGAATTATATTTCCATTCTGAACATCTTTTACCAAATCAGTGCCATCACTGGATGAACAGATGTCCTAGGAATATCAGCTAAGGAATTTATTTATAATCCACAATTAAATGCTATTTGGCCTCTTCCCCACACCTTCAACACACAAAAGCAGAAACTAGTGGCCAACAGTGATAATATATGCTCATTACTCATTTTATTTATTTATTTATTTATTTATTTATTTATTTATAATAAATAAATTCCACTAGAAGTTAGTCAACCAACAAACAGTTTGGCTCTTATACATATGCTGCTGTCCCCTGGCAACAAATTAATTTCACAGTGTGCCTTTGCATATAGTAATAGATCCCCAAAGGTCCTTTTCTATCAGTTCAAGGTCTTCTGTTCTTTAGCTTTCCTTAAATTGCTTTTCCACACAAGGAGGAGACATGTTTACAACAGAAACACATGCATAAAAACCTTTGTAAATGCCATAAATATTTTCCCACATGACAGGCAATGGAACCAATCATGACTCTGAATAATAAGATGTATGCTTTGAAACAACTGCCTGATTTGGAAGGCTGCAAAGGTCAGTGAGAGGGAGGATATTTCTAGGATATAAACACAGCTAGGAGTTGAGTTGGAAATACTGCTAAATTAAAAATTACAGTAGTGTTCCATCCTGCCAAAGTATGTGCAAAAAATTAATGGTCTATACATTACTCAAGATCAAATACTTCTATATGAAGAGAGCTTTCAAAAGTCACAGATAGGCTCCTCGTCTATTTTGTCTCCTGCCCTCCCTCCCCAAACAATACTCCACCTCTCTGATACACACAGTTGCTCTAACAGATCTTCTGGGGGCCTGACCACTTGTAGAGGATAAACACTTTTGTGTCGGCATCTGCCTCTGCAGAACTCCATTACATTATCAAGTTGTCATTCTTGAGAAGGACCTATTTCACTAGGAGCAAATGCTCAGAGGGTGAGTCCATGCAGACATCTGTGATCAATTGTGAAAACAGAAAAAAAGACTATTTTCCCAAAACCTTTCACCATTTTTCGAATGGAAAAACTGGGAAGCGCTGAAAAGAGACTCATGGACACTGGACAGAAGTCTTGGGTGTGTGCTCGGTGCAAGGAGCTCCTGGTTCTCAGGGAACGTGTTGGCTCCCTTGAGGCCAAGGTGGCTGACCTGGAGAAGCAAAGACAGTCAGTTAGGCGCACTGAAAAGACTCTCAGGGTCTTGTTAGATACGTCCCACTCTGGATCTGGCAGCCCCGCTGCTGTCAGGGAGCATGAGGGTCTAGGGGAAACAGGGCACCATGCTGAGGATAAGGGGAACGTGCCCTCAGAAGGGACCTCTTCCCCAGCTGGTGAGGTGGGCTCTTGGTAGTTGGTGATTCAATCCTTAGACAGGTAGACAGCTGGGTGACGAACCTGCGTACTGACCGTATGGTGACTTGCCTGCCTGGTGCGAAGGTAGCGGACATTACGCATGTTTTAGATAGGCTGG